TTTGAGCAGCGTTATAGAAACTGTTTTTTCAATGAGACTATTCAAGACACATGCAAAAGTGGCTAATTATATGATACGAGCATTGCATATTCTGTATCGCCTCTTGAGCTGAAGAAACACATTACTTATAATGGTTTATTGACAGCATATATTGGTGTAACGACTCAGTGACTTTGCTGAACCGTAGTTTTTTACCTTTGCATGCACGCCTCATCAACTAAGAAAATGTTGGGTATATATATGTAAACAGTAAACAAAATTAGATTTGCAAAATTCTGCAGCTAAATTCTATTTTTCCTTTCAATATAATTTCATTCGCTGATGCATTTAAGGAGCAAGATATTACATGAGTTAACAAGCATCACATCAGGGTGATTTTCGCCTAGTTTGAGTGACTTTTTTAATTAGTTCTTGTAATTTCATAAATTAAAAAATTAAAAAATAAAAGTTAAATTTAACTTATAAAGTAAAATTTTTTACATTATTTTCTTTTATCTATGATCTATACACAAATTTACCCAAACTAGTTACTTGTATGAAAATTATAGAAGTATATGCGTGTGCACTTCGCAATCACTTCTAAAGTCTAATACAAAAGCACTTACCATGGTCCACACGTGTTTCATATACCTAAACTTTTTCTGAAACAGATTCCATTTCCACAAAGGGATCAAACCATATATTTCACGCACTTTCGTCTTCCTATAATAAAAAATTTTAAGCTAGCCACCCTTTGTCATCCTAGCATATTTAAAAATTGACGATTTTAGATTGTCTGCTATGGGTAGGGTTGATATTTAGGTTAACCCAATTCAATGTTGGGAAGTAAACCTTGTACACTTTCTTTGGTTATCCAATCCCATGCCTGGAAGCAACACGATGATAAGAACTATGTGATATTATTGTAGAATATATAGGATCCTGTTTTTTTCTTATATTGTTTTTTACTCCTCTTTTTTATTTTTTTTTCTTAATATATTTATCATTTTCTCTCTTTTCCTTCATTATTAACATATATGTAGCATAAGAGTACATATCAAAATATTATTTTTCTACAGAATATATATTATGCTTTCCTTCAGCTTGTGCCTCACACTATTTTCACACCATATTTATGAAAATTATTTATATACTTACATGGTAGGATTTGGACTCATCCAATGACTTAGTATAAGGTTTTATGCATTCAGTAGCTCAGATTTTATGCATAGTAGAGTAATTGGTTCAAAACAAATCGTCCATGAAGCATTAATGTAAGAGTTATGCTACATATTTAGATATCATTTTTCACAAAAAGGAAATATATTAAGGAATGACATAGGACAAGAAGAGACAAAATGCAAGATAAGATAAATAATGTGATCGAGTTAAAGAAAAAAATATTATGAAAAATTGTTTAAAAGTTTAATGTGAAAATAACATTAATATTCTTATTATTAGAAACCAGCAACCATAACAGTGCAACGCAAGGAAGTCTTGATTTATTTATTGTTATTATAAACTATTATTATATTGTTTAAAATTTTTATAATGATATTTAGACAATTATTTACTTATTATAAAAAAAATACTTGATTGTACTTACCAATCTGAAATAATGACTCCTACATTAAATGAGTTATGATATATATGCCTTTTAAAAAAATTGAATTCACAAATCCTTGCTATGAGATCTAATTTTATCATGCTAGGGATATTATCAATTTTAAAAAAATAATTTTATGTTGAAGATATCAGGATATCCACACACACACAAAAAAAAGTTTTAGTTACCATTATTGTTTTCTTTTTATATTTTAAATTTTATTTTCCATATCAAATCTCAACATCTTATACTCTTAAAATTAATTTTTTAAATTTCTCTTTTTTGTAAATATCAACTACTCATATTTTTACATTGTTTATATAAATGATATATATTCATATTTTAATTTTTAATTTGATATTTTATCGACTTAAAGAACACATACAATATATTAAATACTTACTAGTCTGAATATGTATATAATAAAGGAGTCTGGCTCCCTAATTTTCCATATGGTCGAAATAACTAAACCAAGGTTTTCCCGAATTTGCTATTTAACAAGGCGTCAGATTCCATTAACAATATAATATTAAAATCTTCTTGTGAATGTCACAAAGTGGATGACTTTAATGTACGGTTTACTAGGTTGACATTTGGCGATGTTTCCATTCTAAGGACTACGAAAATATTTAAATATTTTTTTAGCTTTTGAAAATATTTTATTTAATTTTATCTTTATATATAAAAAAATTATGATTTTAATATCTTTTGTTAAGGAATAAATTTTTTTGTTTTTATAATCTTTAAAAACCAAAATTAGATAGTTTTATTCAAATAAAAAAAATAAAAATGTATGATATTTTTAAGCATCAACCATCTATTTAAGTCCTGAGAATAAAACAATCATGAAAGTATGACCAGTAATACTGTAATAATAGTAGCAATTATGACGACTGTCACTGATTCTGTAAGTTACAAAGTTTTTTCTTTTTCTCTAAATTTCAACTATAAATAGACCCTGAATTGATTCATGATTGTTATTAATTATAAAAAATGTTAATTTAAATCTTCAAAATTGAATTTAAACAAGTAATAATTTATATTTTATAATTATAATATACTGTGTATTTTTTAATAAAAAAGTACTATTTTAAATGTTTAACTCACCTTGAAAATCTGAAATTAGCAAAACTCTTAATTATATAGGCTGACTCTATTATGAATTTAAGGTTTAGAAACTCCAACATAGGTATGTTTTGACAGTACTTCTACAAATGAGAAAAAGATTCTCTGGAAAACTTTTTCTTTACATACAAAATTGGTCTCCCTCTCATTCCCATGCATTTATCTGTTGCTCTGTAAATTCAAGATAACAATAGGATCTCCATCTTTCTGAAGAAATGTCTATTTGCTTTACAATAATGTTTGTTTTATACTTCTTATGTATGAGATAAATGAAAAGAAAAAAGACACAATGAAAAGAACCTGTAAAAGGAATACAAGAAAATCAAACCCCTTTGATTTATTGCCTTTTTCTCTCCAAATCTAACAGTTGTTATCTCTGTTTATAAATTGTCTATAATGATCTACTTCAATTTTAGAATAACTGTAATCTATGCTTTCTGTCATTAGTTAAAGAATTGTTTTTATATTTATTTAATAATTTTAATTTTATATCATCACATCCAATGGTTATTTATGCTGGACTACTGAGTGATTTACTCTAGAAGGGAAAGGTAACTTGCTTGTAGGCACAAAAACGTATTATTATTATTATTATTATTATTATAGGTGATAAACAGCAAAACTTTTGTTCCTACTTTATAAAAACTAATTAACAGGGACAAGCATCAAAATTTTAGACATGTTTGGATTCAACTATTTTTTAAAGATTGTTTTAATAAGTTATATAAAGTAAATTATTTGTTTGAATAGTTGAAAGGTGACTTTAAGATGATTTATTTTGTTTAAACTGTCTAAACTAATTACTTTTTTATGAAGTTATTTATAGTTATTAATTTTTTATTTAAATTAATCAATTATTGATGATAAACAATAAAAAAAAGCCAAAAATAAGCTATTAACTTATAATCATAATCTCTAAAAAGTTATAATTATCAAGAAAAAGTCATTTTCTTTCTTTAATATCTAAATCACTAAACAGATGTAAATATATAATAACACCAACCACCTTTTTCTATGAACTAGATTGTAATCTTCACAACTAATCGCATCCAAACGCGTTATTAAACGATACAAATGAAGTTCGGTGTTGAATATGTTCCCATCAAGAGCTTGACAGCATGAAGAGCATAAAATTTGTCTGTGAGATCATATAAATGATGATATCCTTTGACGATTTTCAAGCTTAGTGACATGTTATGCCGGAAGTTAGTGGGTGGCGGTCCCACCACTGTATACAGAAATACACTTAAATTACAAAATGACATAAGCACTTTGAGAACTCCCTTCAGCTGCCATAATTTATTCGCATTTTGACAAGAGGTTAATTTTTTTAACAATTTAGTATAAATTAAAATATTTGATTTTATTTAACAAATTGTAGGTGCCCAACTAAACTACATAGAATAAAAAGAAATCTGCAAACACAATGGTCATTGAAGGTGGGCGCAAGCATAATTATTATGATCTAAAAGTCCGAACAAAGAAAAGAAAAGAGAGTGGAGAAAAAATGGAAATGACTACAGACACAAGTTAAGAAAGCTTGGAAACTCAAAACATGATGATTCTTGGATTGTAGTCAGCCAACAACACTGATATATCCTTAATATACAAATAAGGATGACAAATTTCACTTGATTTGTCTCATTCGGGAGCTATGTTTTCAGAGAAAAAACCTCTACAGGGAGGAGGGGATGGAGTAAAAGTATCCCCACTTCAGATTTGGGAGCAAGGACAAAGATCACACTGGTTTTAATTTATGTTATTTTATTTTAGTTTAAGTTATTTAAACTATATGTAGCGTATGTTTCTGTATTATTTTCTATTTCATTTTTTAATGTAGTTTTGAATGCAGGGACAAGAAGCAGTGAGTTCTTATATCTGCTCTGCCTTAAACTCAATCACTTGCTTAGAAAAATTCCGGATTGATTTTAGCATAGGTCCAATTTAGAGAAACATGAAGCAGCAAAATAAGTTAATATTTTTATAAAATAACTTATACATCTCACTTTTTTTTTAAAGAAACTCTCATTTAACTTCTGAAAAATTGAAATGCATAACTTAATTTTTAAAAGAAACTCTCAATTTAGAACTTAGATTACTGTGCTTATTTTTCTAACGCTACACTGTATTGCGTTAAAATGAAACCGCGTCTCATGTAGCTAGCTAACTTCCGAACCAAACCACGCTATTGATGAAATTTTCGTTTTAAGGGAAGGGAAGGGAAATTCGAAGCCTACAAAGGTGATTGGTTAAGATTCATTCTGATATATACGGAATAAAAATAAATACTAAGACATATACTTTTTGGGTGCGTGTATATATATATAACTTCATATCCTTACATTACATGAATGTGAACATCACTTTGCCTCATTGAGCTTAGACAGCAAAAAGAGGCAACTAGAAGAAAGAAGGACCGAAGCACAGAAGCATAGCAAATCCACGGGAGATTGTATTGTAGCCTTCTTACTTTTGTCAAACAACCCAATCAGAAGCAACATTACTATGACGTGACCAAGTTTGGTTTTCAGTTCATTCACAGTTTTTATGTCCAGCCATTTTGGTCGCTCCTGGAAAGGAAAAATAGCATACTATCAACAAATAATTTATTAACATTAAGAAAATTAAGTTATTGTTAGTAGAACTGACGTTTAGAACCAAGATATACCAAATTTCTGTAGCTATGGAATTTTAAATTAAATTATATTCTCTGCTCATAACTTATTTGGAGTGCGTTTCAATAACCTGCTGAATTAAGCAGTTAGTGAATAAGCTAAAAGTAACTTATTTTAACAAGCTTTTCATTTAAAAAATGTTAAAAAGAGCTTATAAAAATGTGCAAGCCACTTTCTTAAGCTTCCATATAAGCTCTTCCAAATGCCACCTTAATATTTTACAGGTATTTATCATTATCTGTTCACATAATTATCTAACTACAGGTGTCTAACTACACAAGTAACATTTAAAACTTTTGAAGTTGCATTAATACACAACAAACAGAAAAGGGTCCCCTGAAAGTAATCGTTATCAGCACTATAAAGGATCAATTGAATGGTGACTAAAATAATTACTGAATCTTTTGAAAACACATCCATTTTGTTCTTTCTTTTAAATGGCCTAAACGAAGAAGATAAGTTGTAGGCTTGTAGCCTATAGCAATACATAGAACATAAAATCCTACAAACTTAGATAAGTTGACCAAGAAACAGAATGTCCCAAAGCTAACCTTTAGAGGGAATAAACCAAAGAGACTTGATCTGTCAGAAGGCTTTTGATCTGGCAGAGAGCTTCCACTACCAAGATTACTGACAAAGAGCTCATAGAGACCCATTCCAAAGACCAGCATCACAGTTCCTAAAAGATAGAGATCTAGACGAACAATAAAGTATAAGTTAGAGAGAAGAATAAAAATGAAGAATAATGTTATATAATTAAGAACACAAACTCATAGGAGTTTAACTTTAGAGACACTTACCAATAGCTTCTATCAGCATTTGGATTACTTTACTCCGGTTTACAAAGTACTGCAAAAAAGACTCTGCAACAAATGTGCAGCCCTGCATGTTAAAGGGTCAATAAAATAAAATTATACATTAAACCGGAATCCATCAGACATAGCATAATGAATCTAATGTTAATTATTTGAAATCCAGTCAAATAACTCTTCCAATTTGGGAAAATCTTACAAAGCATACTGTTATTCAAATTTTCATTTAAAATATACAAACTTTCCTTTATTCTTCCAACTTTCCTTGTCACTTCCTTCTCCACACATTTCATTTTTCCGGATGCCTTCATCTTCTCATACAGGTCTGAATGGTACAGGGGAAATATTAGGAAATTGACAATATTTCCATACTTGGATGCTGGAATCACCCCCTCAAGACGTATAAGATGAATGAAGGGAAAAAGACACCAGTGACCAAGCATTATTTATTTCATCTATCTTTAGCAGAGCCAATTTTTGTGGACCTAGTATAGAGTTATTTAGTCAGAACGAACAATGAACTAGGTGAGCAGCGACTGCCAAATAAGTTCTCAGTTTTAATCTAATCAAAGGTTCAAGGCTGATATGTACTTATGGATTGGCTGAGATACATGCTTTAGTAGGACCATTGGGATAATGGAACTGGTCATAGTGTTTATATTAGATTTGGTGAAAAACGAGAATCAAATATTACCCCTGCAATCAGTACTTGTTAATTGGTGACTGAAGGATACCTATAACATGACCATCTGGTCATTTCTACTGGAACTGGTAACACAAGTTATATTAGATTTGGTGAACAACGAGAATCAAATGAGTCAAATTAAGACCTAAAATATATAAAATCCAGATATGATACTTCATAATATTTATTTCCCTTTCAACAAATGAGATGGATGACAGTATGTCAAATTAAGACCTAAAATATATAAAAATCCATAGCTACAATATCAAGGGTGATTAAATCAAATTGATCTTTATCAGCATAAAGACATTTATCAGAAGAATTTGCACATCACATCTATAACTCACACGGAGGTAAAAACACTAAATTTTGGTCACTTTGCTGATTCTCGAGGCTTACTTTGAATTGAATGTCCACTGCATCATTCACATCTGGATGCTTAAAAAAAACATCTATCAGAGTAGTCTAACTACCAAGCAATTTTATATCCTCTTAATAATATTTTATAATGAAAATACTAAAAAAATCTGCAAAGTGACCATCTAATAAGTAGGATAACTTAAAATTATTCCTAACTAATATCCCATTAAAGGCGAACGATATATAATTGGGGTAAATTTGACCAGATACAGATGACAACCATAACTGTGAGAAAGTAAAAATAAAATAAAATCATACCTTGATAAAACACAGAAATGATCCGATTAAAGATCCAAATACTCCCATAATAGTCATAAACCGGCATCTATAAATCACCTACATAACCCATCAACCAAAAACACTAACAAATCCGAATAAGAAGCAACCATATTTAAAACATTAAAAAACAAATAGCTACGAAGCATAACTCTGACCTTTTCAATTCCCTCCTCTACGGCTTCCAGCTTCCCTTGCAAGTGGTGAGTGACAGCAGAATCAAAACTAGAATTAGCAGCAACATGTGGTGGCATTGAAGGATTAGGCGCAGAAGAAGAAACAGCAGGTCCAGAGTTGGTGCATGCACAATTTGGGAATCTAAGATTTTGGTAGCCCAACAGAGAGACCCTTTTTCCATTTGAGGCCAAGATAGAATTTTTGGTGCGGAGTGAGGCTGGTGATGTTGTTGAGAAGGGTCTCCGCACCAATGTCTCTGACAGTTTCATGGTATATAGGAGAAGTAACAAAGATAGTGTTAGCGTCTTGGTGGATGGTTATGTATGTGTCAGCCACAAAAATACTAAGCTCTATATTCAGTTAATATGGCTTTATTTTTGTCTGTGGTTGCCACTGGTCAGTATGTGAGAGTAAGAGTAGACTTTCACGGACACTATCTGCAACACCTTGAACCATGTACACCGTTGGAAACTCGGAAAATGAAATTAACATCGTACACTTGTATAATAACAATAACAATAAATAATTGTTGCTTTTGTTGTTATTTTTGTTGCAAGTGCATTACATATGTTTTTATATGTTTATGAACAGTTCATGCTTAGTAAAATAAGAAGTATCTAGATTTTACGTGGACAACAGGGTAATGGTCATTTGGAAGTGTTCAGACCGATTAAGTATATATTTAATTTAAAGTTAAGTTGGATTAATTTTTTATGGAATTAAATTAAAATTACTAAATATGTTTAAAAGTGTGTCTAAATTAATGCCATTTATAGATTTTATATTAAAACAAATATACCATGATATGAAATTTTGATTTTTAAGACAAATAAGTATTTAATCTTTGGACACTCATTTCTCCTCTTCAAATCATATATTAGATATATTTTTTTGGTCAACTACATATTTTTTATTCAAAAAATAAAAAGAACCCTGTAAATACTTTACTTTAGCGTTTGAGATAAAAATAAAGCAGTAATGTCACAATCGATAAGGAAAAAAAAAAAAGAATCCATTATCTTTGTGCCTTTTCAAAAGGATTTTGAACATTTTTTTCTGGATTCTGTTTTGATGTTTTAATTTCTTCTAATTTTATACAAGTTAAAAATTTTCACTTTCAATTAAAAAATTCGGTAAATCGGATTAATAAATTAAGAACCAAGATGTAAAAATTTTCTACAATCCTATAAATTTTTGGCCTGTAACTTATTTGGGCCGACTTGAAGTAGGAACAAAGGAGGCCCACTTTTGAGTTTGGATCATCACACTGTCAAGCTCTCACCAATTTTGTTGACCAAAAACAAAAAGCTTCTCGTACTTGACCAAGATAAAAAACCTTGTCATAGGTTTTTCTCCGCAGGAAGTGATGAACCTGCGTTACTGTTAAGCTTTCTATGGATTGACCCAACAAATAAAATAGCTCTCTACGGGATTCAGGCCAGCATTTTATTTTTCAAGAATTGACACTCTTCAGGGACTTTCAATGTACATTAAGTATTATATTTTACACCAAATTATTTAACAATTCATTAAATATAACAAAAATACCAATATATATTTTATGGTTTATTAAAATATCAGTTTATCGACTCAGCAAATGAAAATGTACTAACTGATGACTACCCGTTTTCCATCCAACTACGAAAGCAATAGCTTTAAAGTCAGGAAATCTGCATAGAAAAGAGTTAGCAACCATTTGGCATGCAAGTTTGGTATTTATCTTTTGTAGAATACTAATATTCACAAACCATTTTTTTATTTCATTATTCGTACGCAATTTTTTCCTTTAAGTAAATAATAAGTCAAGATTAAAAAAATCACATTTTTCAATACGCATTCACTTTTTCTCTTTTTTCCGAAACAAGGGTAAGAAAAAGAGTAAAAGAACATGTGTAAAAATAATTTTACTTACTTTACAAGATTAATTAAATAGCATCAAAGGGTAAGATACCTTGTTGCAGAGAGCCGTGTAATATGTAACAAGATATAAAAATGAGCGTTAACACAGGGTAGGAGACAAATGCTTTAAAGCTAGGAAAGGAAGATACCAAAACCTTCCCACCAATTAGAGATAAAGAACCCAATTTTTGTGCAGTTTCCCTACCTGACTAAGCTTGCCAACCCAACCCCAACACCTCCCTCTCAAGTCTCACCCCACACAGCACAACATAAAACTCCCAAATAACCCCACATGGGTTGATTTTGATTTGTCCATCACCCTCCATGCAGTCCCATCATGATCATGGCCATGTGGCTGAGCATCATCAAACTCCTAGACCCAGAAGAAGAATAGTGACACATGACAATGGTAACACCCACATCATAATCTGGCTAGCAGCCATTCTATGCACCATCATAGCCATAGGTGTTGTAATAGCAGGCATAGTAGTGTTTGTGGGTTACGTGGTGATCCACCCAAGAATTCCAACCATCACCATCACCGATGCTCATCTAGACCTTCTCAGTAATGACTACTCTGGGAGTCTCCAAACCCAACTCAGAATTTTTGTTGTGGCACAGAATGGGAATGCCAAGGCTCATGCAACGTTTTCTGACATAGGATTCAACCTAAGCTACCAAGGCCAAGGCATAGCAAAGATGGTTGCTCCGCCATTTGAGGTTCCCAAGAACAACTCAAAGACCCTCAACTATATGGTTCAGTCTTCTCCTATACCCTTAACTCCTGATCAAATGGAGGAAGTGAGTGAGTCATGGAAACGAGATATCATTGGCTTTGACATAAAGGGTGGCGCTAGGACACGGTGGAGAGTAGGGCCTTTAGGTTCTCTTAAGTTCTGGTGCAGTTTGGATTGTACTCTCAAGTTTCACCCTTCCAATGGGAGTTACATTCACTCACGACGATGCACCTCTGAATCTAAATGATTCTTAGTTAATTTCCTCCATTTTGTTTGGTTAATGATTATTATTATGTACACACAAATTGAACAAACTCTTCTACATATTGATTCAACATTCATGTTCAATTCAACTTTCAAGTTGAGTATCTTTTAGATTATTTGCTTTTGCAGGACATATTTCAATCCTGTTAGATATGTGACTCAGATCAATGTACACCGAACAGAAGACACGCCTTTTAGGAAGCTTGTGGCTTTAACGCTGGTGAATAATTAATATTTCTTCTTCAACTTTGTATTGAACAAGTTATCAATTTAGGAATTCATAAAAAATGACAAAGTTAATTTATCAGTTAGTGATTTTATTTTTTGGCATTTTGTAGGTAGCTACCAACAATAAGAAAGGATACAAATTTAAAGAAATCAATCAAGTTCAAAGCAAAGATGATAGTTAATTTTTTTACGGTTATTCTTAGACTCGTGTAGTGGAAAGTAGAAATGGAAAATCGCAGAAACTGCAGATTAGGAAATTTGTTGATTGAAGCTTTCGTGTTGGGCTTCAAAGAGGTCATTTCCTTCATAGCTAAGAAAACCCGCAAAGTGGGAAAATCTTGTGAAATTCGATTTCCATAAAAAAAATTAAAATTGACAACATGTTTGTTTTACTTTTAAAATTAATTTCTATATTCGAGCACACATTTTAATATATTCTAATTATGCTTAACGGTTTAAATTCACTTTTATTAGAATTAATTATATTTAACTTAAAAGTTATATATATATATATATATATATGCTGAAAAATTAGGCTCCACAAGATAAAGATTTGTTCAAACCTTTTATAAGAAGTACTCTTATCTTACTTTATGATTAGTAAATATAAGACATCACAGATGGTTCAACATAAGTTTTCATATCATGTTGAAAAATTAGACTTAACTTACTCATAAAAATTAAGAAATTTGTTCAAATCTTATAAAGTATTTTAACTCTTAATATTAAATATGGTAACAAAATGAACATTCAACCGGATGGAAGATGCTAGAAAAGCCAGTCATACCGAATGCAACATTAAAATGGTATCAAAGATTGCAACTCTCCTTCTTTTGGCACCTTTCCATGCAACATATCTCGTTGCTTTTCTCTCAAGCCTTGTAAGCATTTGGCATCAATCGCATCCCTACTTTTTCTGTGAAGTTTTATGTTGAGCTTGCGCAAGGATAACACATAATACACCTTTTATTTTGGCCTACATTATGTGCTTAACGCATTAACCAAGTTCTTGATGTCAAGGGTATCGGGTGGAAGCTACCTGAAATCCTGAATTTCCAATTGATTGTCGCCAAAAGCTAAAAATAAAAGCCATGGATAATTTTATGTAGAATGACCAATTAACATAGGATGAAATAACGATTGTATCAAAACAATCCCAATTCTTCAAAGATAAAAGTTTTTAAATAATTGAAAGACTAGCAGTTCAACTTGGAAATTTTTAAATCATGGGGAAAATATAAGAAACTACATATGTGAACAAAAACAAAGAATATTTGTTCTGACCAAAGATTCACAATTCGAGTTAAGTTTATGTTATTAACAGTGAAAACAAAAACTTGAGTTTGGATATTATGGCAGAATATATTAGACCTCGTTAACTGTTAAAAGAATTGATTCGAAGGTTTAAATTTGGTAAATAGCTGTGATGATTATTTCTAATTGACTTTAAAATGCAATTTTTGAAGTATTTATTTGCTCGAAGTTAAATAAATTTACCAAAAATAGAATAAAAATTTTAAATATATAAAATTACTTAGGAAGGCATTATGGTAGAGATTCTATGAATCAACTGGAATCAATTTTACTCAAATAGCCTTATCTTAAAGTCATGAGAAGAAATCTCAGACAGGGACACTGATGAGAGCTTCATCAAGACACGTGGCTCTCAAATCTGGGAAAAGTGACGTCGATCATCTTCTTCAATTAATCCATTGTTCTGTAACATTTATCGTCGCATTCATGGTGTGTTTGTCGTAACATATATATATATATATATATATATATATATATATATATATATATCTTTAGGATTCGTTTCAATAACTTATTATTTTCCTCTTTTATGGTGAGGTAGGAAAGAATATCTTATTATGATATTCGTTTCAAGAACTAATTTCTTTAACCTTTTACAAAAGTATATTTTTTTATATTTAATTAATTGTTATAGATTTCTAAAATATATTTTCATTTATCTTTAAATAATACTAACAAAAGAGTCTTAAATTAAGAGAAAATGAAGTCTTTACATTTATTAAAAATTTCAAACAATATAAATTTAAAACATCAAATTATAAAAGATATTAATTTTTTTACACAATAAATTTCTTTTACCGAAAACAACGAGTTAATAAACTACTATAAATTAAACTACAATATTTTATATTAGTTAATTCACATATTTGATGATAAATATATATTAATTTAATAAAATTTTAAAAATAAAACTATAAATATTTAAATTAATTTAAAATTTAAATTAAATATTAAAAAATTAAGAATAATATACGTTATTCATAAAAGGCAAAAAGATTAAGCTACTTTCATGATAGAATATTTTAAATTCTCATGTATAATAAAATGGAGTTTTTCATATTTTTTTCACGCTTATACACAAATTTTTACTTCTATTAAAAAAATATATCAAATTAACTTAACTTCTTATAAATTATAAATATTTGGTCTCAAAATCTCAAATATTTATACTTTTAACTTATTTCTTTTCTAAATGTTCAACTTAAATTTTCCCTTCAGATTCCAAACAAGTATGATTTTAAATTAATTATTTATATATCTACTTTTTATATATATTAAAATAGAAGACCTTATTTTGAAAGTTATTCGACCCCTTCATATACTCCTTAATGAATAACACATATCACTCTTTTTTCATTCAATTTAAAAACTTTTTTCTAATAAATTACACATGTATATTTCATTAAATATTTCTAAATTCTTCTAAAAATCCTTCTAAATTAATAAATAAAAATAATATTAAATATTTCATATATTTTAAACATATTTAACTGTTCCAATATTTTTAAGACTTCACATGAATTATAAATATAATTTAAAATATGTTTAAAATTTAGCAATACTCCTATAATATAACGGAAATACTTTGTAGATTAATTATTGAGATATATTATATTCTATGTATGGATTGACGTTACCTTAACATATACCAGTCTTGACAGTTGACGTGGCAGATCGAGGACGCTTTCATTGCCACCTATTCATCATGCACTCCCTTCAAACTCACACACAACTTCACTAAACTAAACTATGCTTTTCCACGCCCTTCCTCGTTTTCTTTGTCTTTCTCTTCCAGCTTTTCCTTCTGCTCTGCTCTGCTTTACTGTTTCTCTTCCTTCCCATTTGCATGCAAAGTAAGTGTTGCTTACACTCTTCCTGCCAATCCATTTCTTTGTTACCCTTTTTGCTTCAATGCTATGTGTTTGGTTTGGTTTTTGCTTGATCAATTCGGATTAACATATGAAAGATTCAATCTTATCTTTTATATGGTTTGTTGGTTGATTGGATTGCTTTTTAGTTCAAACCCAAATTTGCTTTCACGTTTTGATTATCTGGGCATTGATCATTCATGTTAAAGTTCATTCTTTTGGTGGATTCATGGACTTGGACGATGTTTCAAGTTATGCCTGTGGATGGTTCGGTTTATTATATCAACTTTTTTTTTTTTTTCAATTTTCCCACTTAGTCTTATCATGTCAGTCGTTGTTTGTGGAGAAGTGTGAACTATTTGATGCATAACATTTGATCAAAATTCAACGGCCAATGCTGATATAGTTTAGGAGAAGTTTATGATTTTGCCATTGCTATAGGATAGGGAGATCAAGCTTGGCTTCTCTTTGGCGTTCTGCTCATCTATGATTATCCCAATTCCCAATTAGACATGCGGAGGGACTTGAGGTTTTTATTATAATTTTTTTTAAGCCCAATCTTCAGTACTTTTGATTGCTATGTTCGATGTTGTCGTCACTAGGATTAAGCTTTCAATAAATTTCTGATTCTTGAAGCGGGTTCATACTTTTACTAATTCATGAATCCAATAAGCATAGGCTGCCTGAAGTGGGTTCGTTTTTTTTTTTTTGCAAACATGGGATTCAGTATTCTGCTTAAGTAAATATACACAATTAAATCAACCGTCGGAATAGTGTACGTGACTCATTCAGCTTCATAAAGATTTTATTTAAATTGAAGGGGTGCCAGTGCTGTATTGAAGGTTGATTTTAAAATGTTGCCAAGTTAGAAACTGAACAACTTTGGACTTGGATATTCATATGGATTTATTGATACTGCAGGATGCTGAGATAAACTGTATCAGTGCAGCATTATTGAACTTCTGAATATGCATTGATTAAGGAGGAAGAGCAGTCATTTTGGTGATTAATGGCATTGATTTCTGAGCTATTGGCTAACATAATAATACTCTTGGTGACAAGGCCTTTCTCTCTACTTAAACTAGCATGCTTATTTGGTATCAAAACAGCAATGATTGTCATATATACTTGGGTGGAGTTGATTAGGGCTACATTTAGCTTCCATGTAAACATAATATTGAGAATTATCACATGGACATTTGGGCTTATCTCCCTACCTGCAAGAGTTTTGAATGTCTTTCAAAGGGAGAAGCAGGTTAGTTTTCATTCTGTAGTTGTACTAGTTTTATTTTGTGATACGTTCCTTGCATAAGCAATTCATTTGCCCTAAACTGTCAGACGCTTACTTTGTAATTACAGGTTTTGGCATCTTTGTAATGCAATTAATTTTGCTTGAAATTATAGATAGAAATAATTGGATTCCAACATTTTCCCTTTCTTAGTGCTGAAGGATGGATTAGCTCTCTAGCTAGAAATGGTACATTTTGAACTATAGGATTTAGATGTTGATATTTAGTGTAAATATAGTTTAAAAATCAGATTAAATTATCTTCCCATTGGAGCAAGAAGATAAAGGCTGTGACTTGTAATAGTCAATTAAAGTTGAAAAAAGTGAGGTTGCTTTTGATTTCTGACGAGATGGGGGAAAGAAGTATAGAGAAAAGAAGGTGGAGAGGGGCAGAACATTATAGGGAACCATACCTTTGATGTGTGAACTTTCGTTTTATTAGGTTAACAAATGTTAATTTTTTTCCTGTTGCTTCAATTCTGATATGAATGCCTTACCCCTCTCCCAATCTTCCTCTTCTTTCAAATTGATCCACAGGTAATGTTCCCTCTACGTTTTGTGGCCTTTACCTTTTATTCTTCTCCCTAAACCTGAATTTTACCTTGCTGTTAGATCCAATGGTGGTTATGTTTGTATGCAGCTGGAAGAAAAACTACAACAAATGCAGAATGAGCTGGAGAATCTAGTGTGGGATCAGAAGGAACTTCAAGAACATATCCAAATGGCTGTCAAAGAGCGTAAAATGATGGAGTTACTACTAGCCGAGCTTGAAGAGGAGCATGATATGGCCATTGCAAAAATTGAAAAGCTAGAAAGAAAAGTAAATATTTCATATCCATGTGCCTGCCTTTTAACTTGCGTATATATTTTTGAAGGTTGGAGTTCATCACTTTCTTGATGCTACCTGTTGAAAACCTTTTACTCTTGACCTTATGATATTTCTTTGAGGCACATGGAGAACTTTCTAATTCTTAATAAAATTAAGTGCTTAAGAACATTTTCTGTTTATGATTTTAATTCAATATATATTACATTTAGCATTGAAAAGTCTAATAAATTGACAGAGTAACAGACACGGAGGCAGTGGTTTTAAATTTATACCCTAGTCTGTAATTTATCATTTCTTGACAATTATAATTGGAAGTTTTCACTTTATGGAAGTTTGTTAATACCTAGACGTAAGACTTAGCTTCTGGCTGAGACTAAATTACAAGCAATATGTTAATGTCTGCAATAGTCAGAAATTAAATTCAGTATTATTCTTATGTAAGTATTTGGTTAGCTAAGTGAGTTATAAGGAGACTGTTAAGATATGCCTATCTTTAGCCAAATCCAGATAATTTTTTGCTAGAAAATTCATCTATGTACACAAAACTTTTCCTGATTTGGTGCTTAATTCCCTTGTTGACAGTTGCGGGATCAGACTAACGAAAATCTTCGGCTCAAAGAAATTCAAGGAAAGGGATGCTGGAGCTCCAAAGATCAAAGTAACACTGACAGTGGCAAAAGTATTGATGACAGCAACTATAACATTCCTCATCATATGTTGTCACTGAAATCCAATTACCATGGAAGTGGAATTGCCCTTCAAGACTTGCTTATGCGCAAAGATATTTGGGAAGACGATAGCAAAACAAGAACCGATTTGCTTAAACTCTTGAAAACTGGACCAAAGTCTGTGCCAGTTAAACCTGAAGTGATCACAAGAGATGCAGAAGTGAGTGAAGTTCTCGATCATCGTCGAGACATTGCGCTTTCTCAATCGCTTTTTAGTGCCATTATGTCACTTATAGTTGGAGTGACTGTGTGGGAAGCTGAAGACCCTTGCATGCCTCTTGTTGTGGCTCTCTTCACAGTAGTAGGCATGTCCTTGAAGAGTGTGGTGCAGTTTTTCTCCACCATTAAGAACAAGCCTGCATCTGATGCAGTTGCTCTTTTAAGCTTCAATTGGTTCATTCTTGGTACTCTAACATACCCTACATTACCAAGGGTTGCACGCATGTTGGCTCCACTAGTGTTAAGTATTATGGATAAAACTGTGATCCAGTTTGGTTTCCTTTCCTTAGCTTGACACTGTTTTTCTTTAAGGTTGTGTTCTATTATGTGCAGTATAATCCGAATTTTGAGTCTTTTTTGCTGTGGTGTGAGCTTCTTACTGCTTGTACAATATGAGGAATTTCTGCAATTTGGCTAGCTGTGTTGAGATATTCTGTTTTCTCAGTTTCCACGTCCCAAATATGGGAGAGAGATAGATAGTAAATCAGTTTTTGTTTTCCTTTCCATTTTTTAGGAGTTCAGCAAGAGCCTTTGTTATTTTGTTAACTTTGATCATATTTTAGTTCTTTCCAATGTCATGAAAGAAAAAGATACTAAATATATTATTCTTATACTTGTGAATGTTATTTATTTTGCTTGTATATATTATTGATATTATAGTCAAATTTGGTAGAATAACATTTTTAATAGTTTCTTTTTATGCATGTTGAATTTATCAAAATAATTACTAAATTATAAAGCTAAATGCTAGGCACTTTTTTAAAGCACTAGTTAATGGATCAAGAATGGAAAGCTTTATTAGAAAATGGTATTAATGCACTTTTCTTGGGATTTTTAATGTATATTTTTTTATCATTTTAGGATTAAAGATGGATTTTTAAAGTACAAGGATTACTTTAAATTCAGTGAAAAATTTAGAGGATTGAAAGAATTGTCTGTTCATAGATTCACATCTTCTGCAGAATTTTTTTTGGAGTCAAAATCTTGACCATTCATTATCTATTCTTTTTTCTCTTGTTATTGTGTAAAGTTTAATTTAACAGCAGAGATTTAGGACATTATCCGAACAAAAATCACGCAGGAGAAAATTCAAACAAGTCTAGTCATATGTTTGTGTATAACATTGTTATATCACTTTCAACATGGAAAGATTTAAATCAATCCAAATCCATTATTTAATTTGGTGATACCTCAATTTATGGCTTTTAAGATGAAGGGCTAAAAGCAATGCATCAGTTAAACTTTAGAAAAACCGTCAACATCCCAGAGTTGGGACTTGCTTGTACTTTACAAACGTTAAAAGTTCAGGGATCTATCCAAAATTTTGCAAGATAGATTTTCCGCCAACATTATACTGCGACAAATCGCAATGGTCACTATTGTATATAAAATGTTCAGACATTTCCGAAAGGTGATGACATATTGACACCTGTTAGGCTGGGATATGACAAATCGGTTTTGAGTTGAGGTTGGTGTCCCATTCAGATGCATTTTCTTCTTTATTGTTCTACTATCAGAAAAATGTAGTAGTTGCACCTTTAAGGCTCATTTTGGTAGGCCTAGATAAAGCAGCGTCAGCAAATGTGACATAAGGTTGGCCAATTTAATTGATAACTCATTCATAAAATTTTTTATCAATTAAAGTATTTAAAAATAGGTATTCATTTCTTGTAATAAAATCTAAAAAATACACAAAAACATAAATGATTTTTTTACGTGAGAACATAAAAATAAATTAAATCATAAATAGTTAAGATTAAAACATAAAAAGTATGTGATAATTTTAAAATATTACATAACTTTTTGTTAGTGATGATGCGATATAAAAATATTTTAACCTTAAATATTTATGTATATTGTGTGTATGTGTGTAATCCATCTCACTTTTTGGCACTCCTGTCACCATCTTTCTAATATAGAATTAAGAAGTGGATGGTCATGGCGGGACCAATGTCTTTTGGATTGATTTGTCCTGACAACGTCAACTATGTATTTTGGTTGGGGCTAAAGAAAGCATACATTAAGTCGGTGTTAGTTTTTTCTCAAGCATATGCCAATACTCCAATTGAAGCATGTGCTCTGTTTTGGGACACTTACCCATGAAAGGTGACAATAAAAGGATTTTGTTTGATCAACTAATACTGGGGTATATACCTCTTTGCAAATAAGATACAACCCTTGCCTTGTGCAATTAGAATAACATGAAGCTCTTCTAGTTATGTGCAACCCACTCTACTTTTAGCATTTATTCTATTTTTATATATGCTCTATTACCTGTGAATGGGAAAGCACTGTCTAGTGGGTGTTATGGAGGCTGAACTTAGCAAGCACTAGGTTTACCACCATTTCAGAACAATAAATAACCACAAAGGGGACCTCCCTCGCTTTTTCTTTTCTTCCCTGTCTAACATACACACGCCCTCATTCTTCTTTCCTAAGATATTCTTGTATAAACATGCTACGCAGGGTTTATAATATTCTATTAATAACTTTAAATAGTAATTATAATATTCTTCTAAAAGTTATTAATAGTATAAAACTAAGCTTAGGTTGATGTAAATGAATTGATAAAAATCAGTTTATTTTAGCAATTAAATGCGAGTTTTAAAACAGATTAAAAACATTATAAACTAAATTTAATGCAAAATGTATAATTTAAAGAACTTGAATGTATGATTACTTAAATATGAACCTCAATGCGGTTAAAAAGATTAATTAAAGATAATAAAGAAACAGGATACATTGCACAAGTTTGGAGGCTTTAAATGCAAAAGACATCATAATTATGCTGATAAAGTTAGGGACAGAAATTTGATATTTGTTCCTAAGATGCTGGATCAGATATAGGGCTCCCCAGACATAAACAAGGAAAAATACCATGTCAATGACAGTGTGATACAAGACATTACAATTTAGGTCTCTGTAGTTGGCTTAATTCTCTCCTACAAGACAAATTCTACATTTCAGATCCTCCCAAGATACTATGCTCTGTTTAAATTAAACTTTACTTACATTGAAGGCTTAGGGTGATTCTTCGTGTTCAAGGGACAAATTGGGAATTCGGTAGTCACAGATTTTTAAAAAATACGTATATTATTTTCAAAAAAAAATGTTTGATGAAAATAGCATTTTATTTAAGATTAAATATATTCTCTGTTATTATAATTTTTTAAATCTAAAAAATAAAATAATGTAAAAAAATATTATTAATTTTATTTTTATAAAATTTATTTATTTTTATAATAATATTTAAAAATTATTTAATTTCATATTTTATAAAAAAAATTATGCTGACACCTCAATCATTATACACGTGTCACTATAATTCAAAAGCCACTCTTGGAACTAAAAAAGTCACGTGATTCTACCCTATTTCCTCAACTTTAATATTATCATGCCCTAACCCAACGTTGCCGTATTGGAGTTGAACGACAAATACTTATCACTAAACATGTGTTTCCTTTTTTTCAATATTTATACTCTACCATTGCAAACCCATGGCTACCAATTCTTTGATCTCGTGAACTTGTGACTGATCAATTAGTTTTGATAAAAATAAGTTAAGATAGCAACAGTCTTATAATTAAATATTTTTCAGTTTTTTTAATATATGTTTAAAGACATAAATTTAAAACTAATATTCTATTTGATGTTTTTATGGAAAAAAAAATAATTCATCAATATTTAATAAAAAATAATTATAAGTCATAAATTTTTAATATATTATAAGAACATCTATAATGATAAAAAGTTAAATTAATAATTTATATATTAAATGAATGAATATTTTTATTTAGACAAATAATTGATGAATATCTTGATAAAATAACTATCACAATAAATAATGGTATAAAAAAATTTAGTAATTAATGTATTTTTTCATTTTTTTATTTTCACTGTTTTAAAAAAATACTATTTTATTTGTCACTCTAAAAGTTTAAGAAAGTATTTATTACTTTTTGTTTAACATAACTCTACTCTTTATAAACTAAGAAGTTATTAATTAAAAAAATAAAATAGAAAATAGATAATGATTTTTATACATATTAAGATATCAATTAGTATTTTGAAACTATATGAAATAATCTTAATTGACATATGAAAAGGCACAAATGAAGTACCTAATTTTTTTTTTATATAGTTAAATAAAAAATAGTAATAATTTTTTTATTGACTAGAAAAAATTAGTCAAGTAAGTTTTTATTAAAAATTCACATGATTCAATATATTGAGATTTGAATTTATTATATCTTTTTAATATTTTTTATTACTTTATGAAGTAAGTATAAAATAAAAAAGTACATACATTTATTAAAAAAATATTATTTCAAAATCGTAAAAAGATATTAAACACACACCTTTTATGATAATTTAAAATATTGAATAGAATCTATTCAATACTTACATAAAACAATTATTTTAAAAAATTATCTACAAATAAAAAATAAAAAATATTAAATATATTTTTATGATAATTTAAAGTATTTAATAAAATTTGTTAATAAATTGGAAAATTTGTATATATTTGTAAAATATTTTTATATGTAGCATTAGAGACTTTGTCCATTTTACTGTCTAAAGAATGGTAAAACATTTCGTATGTTGTGTTTCTACCTGAATTAACTTAGATTTTGTAGTCGGATTGGGGTATGGGTTGGTCCGAACCCGTTAACCCCCTTTGTTAAATCCTTATGAAAAATCTAGATAAGAGAGAGAAAAGATCATTCATTGGCAATAAGAAAAGAAAAGAGGAAAGACAAAAGAACTACCTTGGGAACCTGATTGAATTCTTATATGTTATATCATCACCTTCAACTACAAATATGGAATGCAAGACACAATTATTCTCTCCCTCTGCGACTTCAAAGCATTTCCAACCATAAATTAATACTTGATTAAAGAATATCTCTGCACGCCTTTCGCACAAAGTTCACTCAAATCTTTATTTGCCCAAATTGTCAAAAGTTTATCAACCATTAGCCAATACAAATATATTACAATAAAATGAAAGTGACTCTTACCTCGTGAAGCTGCCCCTGCTTTTCCCATAAATTTTAATGCATTATCATTCAACCTTTAAAACAACTCATTTCATCACTTTCCATTTCCATATTATAACACTCATCTAACTAATATTCTATTTCAAAAATCTTAATTTAAAACAAAACGTTGCCGTAAAATTTTTTTTTTAGGGTTCATTTTCGTAACTATTTTGATTCGTTAACCCCATTTATCCCCCACAACTTTATTATAACAAGCCTATCCCGCCATGGGACTTACCATCATTTGTTCAATTTTTTAACTACAACCACTCCTATGCGATTACACAACACCATCGTCAATAGTAAACATTTAAAGTTGTCAAATTTTACAGTTTATATAAATTCGTAAAAAATTGTCTCAGCTTACAATAATAAAACAAAGCATAAAAATATATTTAAATAATTAAATCATATAATAACCATTGTTAAAAGTGTCTTAATTTTATTTATGATGTTGCACAACTTGTTAAAAAAAAAAGCAGCGTTATGATTTCAAATAATGCATTTTTTGTGAAAAAAAATGATTTTTCTTTTATTTTACTAAAATGGTAAAATTGAATACAAACTCATACATTTATGTGTGTCCGTTAGAGTTAGCCTCAATTTAACAAAAAATGAGTTTCATTATCATTCGACACAATTTCTTTAGTTAAATTTGTAAACTCATACAAATTTAGGAGTTAAAACAAGAGTTTAACATCCCTGTAAAACTCCATCATTCCCCAAGAAACCATTACCTACTCCACCTTGGCCAAAATTGTACTTGGTAATCAAAATGGAAAGAATTGTGGCTATTGTTATGTATATTTTTGTTCGAAAGTCCCTGTCCTAGTCTGGTATTTAAGTTCTTGAACTTGATGCTTTCATATCTTCAAAATCCCTTATCTTTTTTCTCAACTTACAATTTATGTTCATGAATGCTGTTAATTCCTTGTTGAGCTAGAATTTGATTTTTGAATACTTGAGTGACAATGTTCAAACATTACTTATTGCCATTTTGACAAATGAACAAACTTGTTATTAGATAGCCTACAAACTGTTTTTTTTTTATCAAAGAGTTCACTGATCTTTCTTTCCTACTTTTCAATTATATAAAGCCTTGCACGGTTGAGTGTCCAAAATTGCAAAAGAAAGTTAGGGTTATTAGGTGGAATTACCCCTTAAAAAAAAATTGTAAATCGAATACATATTAATTGCGACTTAAATAAACATTATTGAATAATCTTACGGCAGTAAGAAAGGACAATGGTATATGATGATGTAAGGAGTAATCTTACAAGGTAACTCACATGGAGGTTTCCCTCGGGAGAGTGGAGCCCTTGAGAATGCAATTGATGACTGAATTCGTACCTAACGCTTATTGACTATGTAGAAAGTTTTTGGCTTTATAAAAAAGAAACGATGGGATAATATATTTATTGAGGAGCAGAGGGCATAGAAATGCAGCCCATAGAGAGGCCCAAACGGCGTCGGGCGAAGCTGGTGGTAATTTGAAGTCCAGGAATGAAACTGAAAGGAGGCTGAGAAACACGTTGCAGTGGCAGAACAGGCGCGCACGTGCAGCCACGTACTTGAACAAATGGCATAAATTCAGTAATTCTTTCCAAATCCATGGCCAATTCCGCGTCTGGCCATGCCGCGCTTTCTTCTTCAGAAAAAATTGAAAAATTATAACAACTTGCAAAGTATATATCGCATCAGGAAGAGCGTGTACCACCACGTGTCCGTATCTCCTTCGTCTGTCCTCTTTATAAATAACCCCTCGCTAACCCAATCTTCACCCGTTCACCACATAGGGTGTGGGTTGGTTGGGTTAGCTTCAGGATTCCTTCTTCCTTCCTGCCTTCTCTCGTCCTCGCCGATGTAGAGAGAGAAATCAACAAGAGAGAGAGAGAGAGAGAGGAGAGTGTGGTTTTTGGTGGTTTGAGGAAGATAATGCGATTACCGTGAGGATTTCGATTCTCTCACTGCGCGGTCTCTAATTCGCTTGGTGCAGGTCGGGAACCGCTGCTGCTGTGGTTTTCGTGCGAAATGGTGGAGCGGTTGCCGGCGGCGAATTGGATCCCGCCTTGCATCAACTGAATCGGAGGCCGCGGTGACGCTTTGCGTGGTTTTCCGGCGCCTCTCTAGCAGATCTCTGTTACGAGTTTCTACAATCAGTAATTTTTATGATTTTATAAGTTATTCTAATTCCTGCTTATCAGATCCGAGACACTTTTAGATTTTATAGTTTATTGTCTATATGTGGAAAAGGTAATTGATGTTATAGATCTCGATGCGTACTGTCTAAATCTAGGAAAAACATTTTCAGTTGCGTTTCAGATAGGTTTTCCCTATGTAGATTTAATTTTCATTTGGCGTGCTTCCTTTTGTTGATTGAAATTTGAACTGAAATTTATGTTCAAACTGAAATAATCGTCGAGTTTTTGAAACTATGATTTTATTGTATCAGTTACTGGTTGAATGGTTTAAGTCAATATGGTTATGGTTCACATAAAGAAAGAAAAGAAAAAGAAATTGCTTGAGGCTTTTTTATGCCATTCTGCTCTGGGATGAATTGGACTGCATGCCACCGTCACTTGTTTTTAATGAGATGCATTCCATTGCGAAGCATGGCCTTTATGAGTTTGTGTTATTTTCAGATTGTTCAATATTTGCTTTTAGGAGGCTTAAATTTATGAAGTGATTGTAGGGTGAGTTGCGTAGGATATTGAACAAAAATGAAAAGCTTGTTTTGGATTCTCACAGTGTAACTGGCTTCTATACCTAGTAAACTCAAGTTGAGACTTGAGGATGATTTCAGATTGCGTACGTTGTGTATACTGTTGAAGCAATTGATCTTGGTTGTTTCCATTTGCTTGGAGGTTGATTTGAGTGTTTGATCCATAACTCAGTAGTAGGACATTGATGTATTAAAATACTTCATCCTCTATGGGAAATATCAATTTGTTTTTAGAATAATGTGAATTCAAGTGACACTTGACTGCTGAAGCTTATTAAGAAGAATACTTAGTTGTTAGTGTTAAATATCAGTTATTTGATTCATGTTGTGAATGTCGTGATATATCTTGATAGTATACTCTATTGTACTAGAGGGTTCTAACATTTATCTGATGGTGATCGGATCTTCAGATTCTATTGTTGTCCAATTTGGACTTAGAGAAACCCTTTTCTTAACTGAAAATTCTTACTAGAGATCCATTATGTCTATGTTTCTTGCCAGTGGTGGTGCATTAATAGATTGTTTCTTCTTTCATGGTTATCTTATAAACAGGAAGGGAGAGCTTTGGCAGCAACAGTAAGAGTTGCTGCCATCTGACTTGAAAGTCACAGGTTTGAGTTGGCGAATCAGCCTCTTGCAAATGCAAAATAAGGCTGTCTTCAATAGATCCATAATGGGACCTTTTCATGGCAGAAGCTTTGTAGCTCCAGGTTGCACTATTATAATAAACAGGCTGCAAACTTTATAAATGCATTTGCTTTGTGTCTAGTAAGTTAGCTGAAGTTATGGATGGTAAATTAATGTACCTTGTGCTATATGATGGTTCACTGAATGAAGCATAGTTATCTATCCCAAATAGCAGAGTTGGAGTGCAGACCCCTGCAACACTATAGGAGGAAAACGGGATGACTGCTATTGTGAACTTTTTGAAATACACATTAAATTTATGCTACATGAATATAAGTGCGGGAAAATATAAAAATTTCAGAAATTGAAGACATTTATAATTGATGATTCAAATTCAGAGCTTGAAGCTAAATGCTTGTCTCAATGACAATAAAGTTGTCAGGGATAGAGAGAAGGAGCACCCGGAGACTAGAGAGAGAGTAGGACAGGTTGCAGAGGTCTTTTGTTGGCTGAATAATACATTAAAAATGCTGGAACAGAGGGAGTTTGACTGGAGAGAATGATACGAAGGTTAGAAAGAACTGAACAGAGCAGTGGCAAAGGTGGTTAGCAAAAATAAATTGCCACGGAAGGTGGTGTTTGTGAGAATGCCCGATTAGGTCACATGATTGATTTAGTGATAGGATTTGTGTTTGAATCCTTCGATTTAATGAAAAGGGATGAAAAATCACAAGATTGCCCCCCTAAGCAGCCCTAAATGATGCTGTTCAATACGGTATAAAATAATTGGATTTATGTTTTTATATGGTTGATATCTTAAGGATACTTTGTATGTTAGTTATGTATATGATGACTAAGATTCTTGGACATGTATGAATTTCCAAAGATTGACTTGTTTCTTTTTAGGTATAAGTTTTTTTCCAATGTCACACTATGCAAATATGTACGTGGTCTACAGCTGGCCTGATCTTTAGATGTGGTTGTAGAAACAGTAAGTTACAAAGTATTATTTTTTGTAGTAATTATAGAATTTTCTTCCCCCAATCTTCTTGGTGCATACATATAAATGGGATTTGTTTATACCTACATGGAAATGTGATTCCTTCCCCATGAACACTTATCTCTCAAAGTAAGTCATTATATTTCTAGGATTTCTTCAATAAAAAGAGATAAGAATATATGTACATATTCGAAATGTGCATTCTTTTAAACAGAGATGCGATTATGCAAATCTGGTGCAGCTTAACGTTTTAATATTTTCTTTTCTGCTAATGGTAATAGATGCAAAACAACTTATTTGGGTACAATGAGCTGCCCCTCTGCTCATTTAAATATGCGAAAGAACAAAGTGCCTAAGATGCCACACATAGGTGTGTATAATTGAAGGAAAAATTGGCCCTCGTGTTGTTTGGACTTTGGCGGGAAGGTTATTTATTCAATAGGGAGAAACCCTGATTTGCATGATTAGATGAGGCTTGATATCTTCTGTTTTTTATTCGTTTAGGAATTGGCTAATTTCAGATATTGATTTGCTCAACTGGTCAAAGATTGTATGTGGAGAACACTTGGTTGTAAAAGAAAATGTGAATACCAGGATCAGTGTTGACAGAATAATGCTTTTTTATACTCCATGTTAAAGTTTGGGTTAGGGTTGATATTTGAGAAGGTACTTATATACAAACAAAATTGGATTGAGATATGGCGATTAATAATTTTATATACAGAGCGAGAGCATGGTATCACTAATCAAATGACTTCTTGATTTTAATGATGGACAGAACGAAGTGAAATAATAGAGAGAAACAGAATAATATAAAGGATCCAGTTTGATACTCTAGTTTTTTTTTTTTTTCTTTTTCAATCGAGATATTCAGCTTAAAAACGTTAAAATTAATTTATTTAACAAATTAAATTAAAATTTTTATTAAAATAGATTTAACAAAGCATACATATGAGAGCGATTAAATTATTTTTATAAATTGTTCATAATTTTTTTTAAACGAGTCCAAAGTGAAAAAAAAATATATAAAGAAATGCAGAATGAATTGACACTGAATGAAAATATCTTTTCCTTGCCAAACATTTTATGATGGATCGAAATATAGTTCTTATTTAATTATTTAGTAAGTGAATAAAGCAAAATGAGGTATGATTTTATCATTCTTATTTTACCCTTCTTCAACCATCTAGAAAAGGAAAAAAAAAATTGTATATTTCATTGGGATAACATTTTTTTCTCATGCAATTTTGCAGTATTTTTTTTTTCAAAGTGTTAGCAGTATAATATGATGCTCACATACTAGTTTTAATCATATTCTACTAGCTGTTTATCTTATATTTTGTTTAGGGTTTAGGGTTTAGGGTTTAGAAAGTGTTGATAGTTTTTTTCTGAGTTATGATATAAGAGGCTCCCGGCCAGTAATAGTATCAGAGCTTTCAAATTATTTGATGTTCATATCTTCAGGGTTTATCGGCTGGACAGCTGACAGGCACCTACCGGAGAGACTGTATTCACAGTCGCCCCTGTCTGTAACAATGCCACGAACTCCTGTATTTATTCAGAGCCTAAAGTCTCTGTTAAAGGAGGGGATAAGTGTGTTATTATAAATAAAGTGAGTAAGAGTTACCACAATATCATGAATACACCCACAGATACCTCTTCTACTGAAATCTCTCCTATTCTCCTAAACTCTCCTATCACATTGCCAAAAGACTGTATCAGAACTGCTTTTGATAAGATAGAAAACTTGATAGAATACACCTATGTTCCTGAAGATGCTCAAATTCAGGAATCTATAGCCCCTCTGCTAAGCCCCTACAATGTTTTCAGAAGAAAAAAATCCTGGACCAACAAAGTAAACTTGTTGATCCTCAGAAAACAATCTCCTATTAAAGAATATGTCCAATTCACCAGAATGGACCAATGTAAGATACCTGCTACAAAGGAATAGAGATACATCAACCTTGAAATCCCTAAAACCTTTATAGACCATTGAAAGACTGAGGGATACACTTCTCTACACTTTGGAGCAATAAGATTAGTCCTATCCCTACATGGTAGGAAAAATCTTCCAGTCACTGCCAGAATCACTTTTCTTGATTCCACTTACATCCATTATGAACATGCTGTTATAGCAACACTACTAACCACTCTTCATGCTGGAAGTGTGGTCCTCACCATCTTTCCAAATTAGAATGTCTCTTTGAGAAACAAAACTCTTCCAACCAGATTGAAAGTCCAGATCCAGCTCACTAGAGCTGAACAAATTGAAGAAGCCATCACAACAACTCTTCACCATCAAATGATCTACAGGTTACAAAATCATGCTCATGACCTTCCTTTTCTAGGAACGGAAAATGATAATTTGTTTGTCATAGCAAACAGAAATGAAGATGATGTCCCATCTATCATTCAAGTTCCTAGGCAAATACCTAGAGAAGAACTTCTCAAGTTAATTCCGTTGGAATGGACAACCAACTATGAGAAGATCAGGCAAAATAATAAACCAATCCAGTCTTTTGAAGCTACTTTCAGAAGATCTGTTGATGGTGGTGTCAGAGCTATATTCAAAAAGCCTGAAGAAGAACCAAGCCCATCTTCCAATTGTTTCCAGTAACTGATGGTTATTCCTGTTGGAAAAGAACATAGAATTTCGGTATACAGCTTCAAACTTGATGGATCTTCCATCTATTCTGACAAATTTTATGGACACTTCATGTGGGATGTTGATCCTTCTATGTGTGACCCTGACTGTGATTGCTGGATGCATACTGGTGATACATCTGATGAAGAATCAGATGATGATGATGAAGATAATCTGAGAAAGAAAAAGAAACCGTGCAAACCACCTCCTAGGCCTAGGAGAAGAGACCCTGGATTTACTCCATGGGTGAGAATCAGGAATGAAAGAAAACCTTTGTCCATCTATGATGAGGCTTTGGAAATTTTAAGAAGAGAAGGCCTGCTGACCAAACCTCCTTGTGATCCAGATTTGATCACATAGCCTCTTCCTCCAGGACTGTGCAACTCTTTCAGTGCACCTCTGGAAAAGGTTGCAGCTCCTATTCCCTGCATGATGTTTACAAAGTATGATGAAAATTTCCCTTCATTAGAAAGAAAAGTAGACCCAATCACTAAGGTCAATACTAGGCCTTTAATGATACCTTCTGAAATACAACCAGATGGAACACTTAAGGCTTCATCCCAAGCTGAAGAAGTTCTTAATTGGCAGACTAAGAATTCTTTGGCCCAAAACCAACTCTTGAAAAAGATGGACAGAAAGATGGACCAGATTGTTGAATCTGTCCATAAGAATGATGAGAAGCTCCAATATCTTTCTGATAAATGGGTTGATACCAAGATAGGAATTTTCATACCAATGTTGACTGATTTTGAAGATCATTGAGAAACTCAAACATATTGAATGTAGGAAAAACTATGGGATAATGGAATAAAAGAGTACCACACCAGAGATACCATACATCTTCTTCTATTAAGGGAAAATCCATTAATAAAGCAAAGATGTTTAGGTATGGTGCATCGGGTTGAAACCAGGTAGGTTTTGGTTTAGCACCATGGTTATGAAGGGAAAGAGACAGATAATGGAACATATGATTTCTGGCAAAATCTTTAATGTATTCCACAGTAATAACTCCATCATTTCTCATGTCAGGAGGAAACATAGGGAGAGGATTGTGTCTAGAACTTGAACTTGCTTCAGCAATGTTGAGTGAGAAAATTAATGGATATGTATTGAATGAAGTAACAATGGCAACAGGCTTTTTTGGTCTAGATAAAAGATCTGGAACCACATTTTTTTCTCCTTTGATATATTTTACAGTAAAATCATACTTGGAAAACTAATTCTTTAATCTGAGAACCTGAGGATCAGGTGACATTTTGTTCTTGAAGTCAAGTAATGCAGGAAAAGCAGAGTTATCCATATACATCTCAAAATTATGACCTCTGAGATAGAAATCAAATTTTTGAATACCATTTTTGACTGCTAGAGCTTCTTTATAAGTTGTGTGATAATGCTTCTTAGATTCTTTGAATTGTCCACTAGCATGTCCACAATAAGCCTTTTTTCCATTAATTTCTTCAAGTAGAACAGCTCTCCAATAATGATCACTAGCGTCCGTCTGTAAAACTCTTTTTCCATCACCAGGAATCTTTAATGGAGGAGGATTCTGGGCTATCTTCTTCAGATGATGAACAACTTCAGTCTGTTCATTACTCTATTGTGGAGGATTTTTTCTCAATAATTTTGACAGAGGACTGGTGTATTTAGCTGCATTAGGAATAAAGTCCCTAATATAATTTAGTACACCAAGAAATTGTTGGATCTGTTTGATTGTGAAATTTTCATCAGGAAAGTTCAAAAGTTCTTCTGCAATATGGGGCTGTGGTTGATAATTTCCCTGAGAAAAATGCATTCCCAGAAAATCTATCTGGGTTTGGGCTAACTGAATCTTTTTTTCTGATAACATAATCCCATAATCATTAGCAAGGTCAAAAAACTTGTTTAAGAGAGCTTTGTGGGATTATGTATCTTTTGAGAATAGCAATACATCATCTATATAGATGAGTATACTATTAAGAATGGGTTCAAAGATTCTGGTCATGGCTTTCTGGAAAAGAGAAGGTGCTACCTTTAAACCAAATGGAAGAACTTTCTATTGATACTGAGCATTTGGGATGCAGAAAGCAGTTTTGTATCAGTCAGAAGGATCAACACCAAGTTGCCAAAATCCTGATTTTAGGTCAAACTTTGAAAAGATTATGGCATCTTTGATCAATGTATGAAGAGAGGAAGTTTTTGGAATAGGAAACTTATCATCTTTGAGAAAATGATTGAGAGGCTTGTAATCAATTACTAACCTCTTTTTTCCTCTGATCCTTTCAGATCTTTTTTCAACATAGAAAGCTTGACATGCCCATTCAGATTTAGTTGGTTCAATTAATCCTTGACGAAGAAGCTCAGCACATTCTTGTCTGGCCATCTGGAGGTCACTAGGACTCATTCCAGGATGTGTAGCTTTAGTAGGATTGATGTCTTCATTGAGCTTGAAAGGAAGCTTTATAAAAAATTCTGGATTGTTCCGGATTGGCTTGGGATGAGAAAAATTCTCATGACCATCTGCACATAAGGTTTTCATCTTCTCCTTAACTTCAGAGTATTCTGCCAGACTTTCTTCAAGAGAATAAAGCTTCAATATATCTGTGTAGGGCTTGAAATTTCTTTTGAATTTTATTCCTCTAGGAAGAATCTGAAGTTTATCAGTGAGACAGTAAGCATCCATTCCAAGCAGAATATCTTTGTTAGGAAGATGAGTTCCTATAGGTTTGATCCAGATTATGCAGTCTGGGAATAGCTTAATTCCAATGGGCATTCTTGAAATTAAGTGTGTTGAAGACTTTTCCATCGGCTGCAACAAAACTGGTTGTATACTGAGTCCAACATTCTTTTGGAAAAACATATGGATTCATCATGGTTCTTTGTGCTCCAATGTCCATATAGGTTATGGCTTTGATTGGTGCGGCATATTTATTGATAAGAACTTGAACCTCCACACAAGGTTGTGATGGAGTTTGAAGAACACTACTTATTTCTTGAGTAAAATAAAGAGGAATATATTCTTCTTCTTTGCTTGATGAATCTGAAGAATCATCAGAAGATTCTTGAATAGCAAAGACAATATCCTGATCTGCTTCCTCTTGTTTAGAATATTCTGATTTAATATCTCCTTCAATGGGATCTAATGAATTTACCAGATTTTGAGCTTTGGCATCTTTGTTAGGACATTTTTTGGCAAAGTGCCCCTTTTTCCCGCAAATAAAACATCTGGTTCCTTTATTTTTTCCTCTTTTGTTCTTTTTTTTGAAGTATTTCATCATCTTTTTCTTCTTTTTTGAGAACTTCTTTATTGTGCCTTTCTTCTTGGATGAGCAGACACACTTCTTTTCTTTGCATCCAATTTCAAGGTACTTTTTCTTGCAGGCCTTAGTAAACTTTGATCTTTCATTCATCACATCAGAGATGAAGAGATGTGTTCTGCAAAGTTTATCAAGAGATTCTAATGTCTTTTGGTGGATCTGGCCAAGACTTAGACTGGTTAAGTCTTGTCCTTGAGCAACAATGAGTTTGTGAATCTCTGGCTGTAGTTCTTAGGGGAGAGATGCAACATAAGTATTTGTTAGACTGACATCATTATATCCATTAAGAAGGTAGAAAATTTTTACCATTCTTTTATGATGTCTTTCTAAATCATTCTTCTTCAATGAACAACATCTCATCTCAAAATAATCTTGCCTGATCTTTTTGTCATAGAGATCCATGTCTCCTACGAATTCTTGGTGTATGGCTCCAAGAGCTTAGCGAGTATTTCCCAATTGATGAAACTGGTCTTGTTTGACGCTGCCAAGATTATGATACAATTCCTTTAAAGTGCCAGTCATTCTGCAACAAAATTCTTCAATGACTTTGTATGGATCTGCATCTATCTTCATAAATTGAGTATCTAACCATGCTCCGAAATCAAGTAATCTTTTTCTCCAATGTTTTGGAGAAACATCATCAAGAGTGAAATAAGGACTTCCATTAATTTTTTATCCTTTTTTCTCTTGTCTATTGGTTTCTTCTTCTTCATCAGGTGAATCATAAAAAGATCCTCTTTGGTTACTAGATTGTGCTGTATTAACCATCAACATTTCAGTAATATTTGTAAATTCTTCATCAGAGGATTTAATTTCTAGTGATTCTGGTTCACTCTGAGATTCTTCAGCTGTTGAAGATTCATAAGATTCCTCATGTAGATCCTGTTCAGTAGATAAGGATTCTTGAGATCCTCTTTCAGTATCTGAGGAGTCAATCAGTTCATCTTCTTCAAGTATTACACCTATAAAAGGTCTTCTTTCTTGACTTCCTTTTGATGACTTTTTGGGGGGAGATTTTTCTTCTTCAGAGGAGTCTAAACTTTTTGTCTTGATAGTTTCTGAAGAAGAAATACTCATCTTTCCTTTACCCTTAGAGTCACGTGTGAAAGACCTAGGTTTAGGTCTATAAGCAGAGGGTAAAGAGTAAGATGGTGCTGTAAAAGTTCCTTGGTAGAAAGGAGATGGACTAAAGGGAGAATAATAACTTGATTGTACAGGAGGTGGAACAAGAAAGGGATTAATTTCAACTTCCCTATTCTGTTGTTTGGCAGCAATTAATTCATCCATTTGTTTCACTTGCTCTCTGAGTCTCCTGATTTCTCTATCCTTTTTATGGTATTCTCCGGTGAAGACAACTTTTTCTTCTGTCAATTTTGAAATATCTAACTCCAATTTTGCAATTTGCTTCTGAGATTCTTTGTAACATCTTCTGAGTTTATCAGAAAGATATTGGAGCTTCTCATCATTCTTATGGACAGATTCAACAATCTGGTCCATCTTTTCGTCCATCTTTTTCAAGAGTTGGTTTTGGGCCAAAGAATTCTCAGTCTGCCAATTAAGAACTTCTTCAGCTTGGGATGGAGCCTTAAGTGTTCCATCTAGTTGTATTTCAGAAGGTATCACTAAAGGCCTAGTATTGACCTTAGTGATTGGGTCTACTTTTCTTTCTAATGAAGGAAAATTTTTATCATACTTTGTAAACATCATGCAGGGAATAGGAGTTGCAACCTTTTCTAGAGGTGCACTGAAAGAGTTGCACAGTCCTGGAGGAAGAGGCCATGTGATCAAATCTGGATCACAAGGAGGTTTGGTCAGCAGGCCTTCTCTTCTTAAAATTTTCAAAGCCTCATCATAGATGGACAAAGGTTTTCTTTCATTCCTGATTCTCACCCATAGAGTAAATCCAGGGTCTCTTCTCCTAGGCCTAGGAGGTGGTTTGCACGGTTTCTTTTTCTTTCTCAGATTATCTTCATCATCATCATCTGATTCTTCATCAGATGTATCACCAATATGCATCCAGCAATCACAGTCAGGGTCACACATAGAAGGATCAACATCCCACATGAAGTGTCCATAAAATTTGTCAGAATAGATGGAAGATCCATCAGGTTTGAAGCTGTATACCGGAATTCTATGTTCTTTTCCAACAGGAATAACCATCAGTTACTGGAAACAGTTGGAAGATGGGCTTGGTTCTTCTTCAGGCTTTTTGAATATAGCTCTGACACCACCATCAACAGATCTTCTGAAAGTAGCTTCAAAAGACTGAATTGGTTTATTATTTTTCCTGATCTTCTTATAGTTGGTTGTCCATTCCAACGGAATTAACTTGAGAAGTTCTTCTCTAGGTATTTGCCTAGGAACTTAAATGATAGATGGGACATCATCTTCATTTCTGTTTGCTATGACAAACAAATTATCATTTGCCGTTCCTGGAAAAGGAAGGTCATGAGCATGATTTTGAAACCTGTAGATCATTTGATGGTGAAGAGTTGCTGTGATGGCTTCTTCAATTTGTTTAGCTCCAGTGAGCTGGATCTGGACTTTCAATCTGGTTGGAAGAGTTTTGTCTCTCAAAGAGACATTATAATTTGGAAAGATGGTGAGGACCACACTTCCAGCATGAAGAGTGGTTAGTAGTGTTGCTATAACAGCATGTTCATAATAGATGTAAGTGGAATCAAGAAGAGTGATTCTGGCAGTGACTGGAAGATTTTTCCTACCATGTAGGGATAGGACTAATCTTATTGCTCCAAAGTGTAGAGAAGTGTATCCCTCAGTCTTTCAATGGTCTATAAAGGTTTTAGGGATTTCAAGGTTGATGTATCTCTCTTCCTTTGTAGCAGGTATCTTACATTGGTCCATTCTGGTGAATTGGACATATTCTTTAATAGGAGATTGTTTTCTAAGGATCAACAAGTTTACTTTGTTGGTCCAGGATTTTTTTCTTCTGAAAACATTGTAGGGGCTTAGCAGAGGGGCTATAAATTCCTGAATTTGAGCATCTTCAGGAACATAGGTGTATTCTATCAAGTTTTCTATCTTATCAAAAGCAGTTCTGATACAGTCTTTTGGCAATGAGATAGGAGAGTTTAGGAGAATAGGAGAGATTTCAGTAGAAGAGGTATCTGTGGGTGTATTCATGATATTGTGGTAACTCTTACTCGCTTTATTTATAATGACTATCACACTTATCCCCTCCTTTAACAGAGACTTTAGGCTCTGAATAAATACAGGAGTTCGTGGCATTGTTACAGACATGAGCGACTATGAATACAGTCTCTCCGGTAGGTGCCTGTCAGCTGTCCAGCCGATAAACCCTGAAGATATGAGCATTAAATAATTTGAAGGCTCTGATACCATTACTGGCCGGGAGCCTCTTATATCATAACTCAGAAAGAAACTATCAGCACTTTCTAATACTTTGAGCAAACCTATATACATTTTTCTTATACTCATGCTGATTATCCTATCTAAATTATAATAAAGAGGACCGTAGCAACATGATCTTTTACCTAGAAATTTTCTGATGCACAGGATCCATTAGAATGGCAAGTGTAACAGGATCTTTATTTTCAGTTTTATTATTTTTTCTTTTTTTGTTTTGCATCTTAATAGAAAAATAAAAAATTGCAAATGCTTCTCGATCCTATAAAATTAGAGCATGTTCGGTTCTCTTTTTAAAAAATAATTTTCTGTTTTTAAAAATAAAATATAATATATTTGTATTGTATTTTATTTTTATAAATAAAGAATTATTTAAAAAAAAAAACAAATATACTCTTAATTTTTTATTTAAAGAAATTTGATTTTACAAGGCTCGCAAGTCTTTTTGTAAAGTCATGTGATAGTCAATGCTTAAATATTAAGATAGCATGGAAAAATCTGTCAACATCTCTGTCGAGACTTTTTATATATATATATATATATATATATATATATATATATATATATAAATAAAGGGAAGTAAGAAAGTATTAGTACGGGACCCACAAAAAGAAATTAATGTCTTCCATGGTGAGAAAAAATCACCAACTAATGCAGAGGAGACATGGGGGATGGAATTTTTTTTGGGTCTCTTTGAAGTATAAATATAATAATATATAACTGCAAAAGAGTATGTACTATTAGATATTGAAAATTTACTCCTGGGAGATGAGAGGGTGAAAAGGCTTTTTGTTTCAATGTTTTAAATATTTATATAATATAAAAATAATTTTTAAATACTCAAATAAAATTTTAAAATTATTTTATTAAAATAACTACGAAGCTGAAACATTTTAATCATGTGACTCTAAGTCAGATTGAGTCAACAAGTGTAGGCTGAAAATGTGGAAGTATTATGAACAGTGTAGGGTGTAGAGATGTATTCCGCTTTCTAGTCATCCCTGACTTTCACCCTATGTCCATAATAAAACATATTAAAAAAATTACTATGTGCATTTATGATGTCAAATTTTAATTATTCAATTAACGAAATTGCTCTATATAATCTATATGATTCAAAAGGAATTAAAAGCTATTGGTACAAATTTTATATAATCTATATGATTCAATTAACGAAACTGCTCTATATAACCTATACAATCCTATAATCACCACTCTAACTTCAATAATTAAACCGCTTACCTACGTCAATTCAACTTTAGAAGCATTGATTTAGACTAATTTCCATTGGTACAATTAGCATTTTCCAATAAAAGATTATGCCTAGATACCAAATACCGTGCAAGAATGGAGGAAAATTATATGATCAAGGTAGAGATAAATAATGTGAAAAGGGCATGCAGCACTTTTTTTTGATAAAAAATATTTGAGAAAGATTAGGAAATTCACAAATGCAAAATTCTAGATACCAAATGCCGTGTAAAGATGGGGAAGCGTTAAAGCGTCCATAGGAAACAAGACAGATCAATCGATTTGAAGATTTGAGTTGACTTTTAAGGGATTGCAATCAAATTCAAACTGAAGATGTCACTTGCTGTCTTCAGTTGTTCATTATCTCAGGAATTTGAAATATAGCTATCAAAAGTCAAACTAATGATGCACACCCATTGTTGTGTTCATACGTACATGTCAAGATTAAAGTAGAAGGAATATGCTTATCCTATGTTGCCGATCAATAATCTCAGCAAATCAAAACCCAAACATAGAGCTATTTTAGCAGAAGAAAACACACAATCTAGTACCCTCTTGTTTCCCAAGAACAGATGAAGCTCTTCACTCTAATGTTACCACCATTTTGGTCATTATGTCTTACCCTACTTCTTTTAACTTCAATAAACTCACTTTTGTTTGACCAACGTACACATGCCTCAGCATCGGGAAATGAAACTGATCATTTCACATTGCTTAAATTCAAGGAATCAATTTCGAACGATCCACGTGGAATCCTAGATTCTTGGAATAGTTCAATCCACTTTTGCATGTGGCATGGAATCACATGCAGCCCCATGCAACAAAGAGTTACACAGATGAACTTAGGAGGATATCATTTGTATGGAGTCATATCTCCACTAGTTGGAAATCTCTCTTTTTTGGAATATCTTGATCTCAGAAACAACAGCTTCTATGGTAAAATACCACCACAATTGGGTCGTTTAGTACAACTTCAACAACTCTATCTCAACAATAACTCATTGGTGGGAGAAATTCCTGCAAACTTGACAAGTTGCTTTAATCTTATAGGCTTACACTTGTCAGGGAACAATCTGACTGGCAAAATACCAAATGATATTGGTTCTCTTAGGAAGCTCCAACAAATTTTCATCTCAAGCAGCAACTTAACAGGACAAGTCCCACCATCCATAGGGAATCTTTCATCCCTTACTGATCTTAATGTTGGTTCTAATAGCTTGGAGGGAAATATTCCACAAGAAATGTGCAGATTGAAAAACTTGAAAACCATAGCAGTTGGCATAAACAATCTATCTGGTAATCTTCCTTCTTGTCTTTATAATATGTCGTCTCTCACTCTAATTTCTGTTGACATGAACCGAATTAATGGCTCACTCTCACCAACCATGTTTCACACCCTCCCCAATCTCCAAACACTTTTCATTGGTGGTAATCAAATGTCAGGTCCAATCCCAACATCCATCACAAATGCAACGACGCTTCAAGCTTTCGATATTACTAGAAACCATTTTGTGGGACAAGTTCCAAGTCTAGGGAAGCTGAAAGATCTTCAGCTCCTTGGTTTAGCTCAAAACAATCTAGGTGGCAACTCAACTAAAGATTTGGATTTTTTGAAATCATTGACAAATTGTAGTAAGTTGTATGTGATAGATATCTCCACCAATAATTTTGGAGGATATTTACCAGATTCCTTGGGAAATATGTCCAGCCAATTCAATTACCTATATGCTGGGGATAATTACATATCGGGAAAATTTCCTGTAACATTAGGAAATCTCATTAATTTGATTCTCTTGACCATGGAAAATAACCGATTAGAAGGAACGATTCCAGCTACTTTTGGGAACTTTCAAAAGATTCAAGTGTTAGAATTGATTGGAAACAAGCTATCAGGAAAAGTACCAGCCTTCATTGGCAACTTTAGTCAGTTGTTTCATTTGGGTTTAGGACACAATATGTTTGAAGGAAATATTCCTCCAAGCATAGGAAATTGCCAAAAGTTACAATACTTAGACCTTTCACAAAACAACCTTAGGGGAACCATACCTTCAGAGGTTTTTAGTCTTTCCTCTTTAACAAACTTATTAGACTTGTCACAAAATTCGTTGAGTGGTAGTATACCAGAAGAAGTGGGCATGGTAAATAATATTAATACGTTGAATTTTTCTGAGAATCATCTATCTGGTGAAATTCCTGAAACCTTTGGAGAATGCTTAAGCATGGAGTACCTCTATTTACAAGGTAATTCCTTTGATGGAATCATACCAACCTCTTTGGCTTCACTGAAAGGTCTTCAACGTTTAGACCTATCACGAAACAACTTGTCTGGATCAATTCCTAAAAGCCTGCAAAACATTTCTGTCTTAGAATACTTGAATGTTTCTTTTAACATGTTGGATGGTGAGGTGCCAACTGAAGGTGTTTTTCAAAATGCAAGTGAGTTTGCAGTAAATGGAAACAACAAGCTTTGTGGAGGTATTTCAAAGCTGCATTTACCACCATGCCCTGTCAACGATAAGAAGCCTACAAAACACCACAGTTTTAGAGTCATAGCTGTGATAGTTAGTGTGGTTGGTTTTCTTTTCCTACTGTCATTCATTCTAACTATCTACTGGATGAAGAAAAGAAACAAGAAAGCACCATCTGATTTCCCAACAATTGACCATCTAGCTAAAATTTCATACAGAAGCCTACATCTTGGAACTGATGGGTTTTCAACTAGGAATTTGATTGGATCTGGAGGTTTTGGATCTGTGTATAAAGGAACTTTTGGGTCAGAAGATAGAATTGTTGCCATCAAGGTCTTGAACCTTCATAAAAAAGGAGCTTACAAGAGTTTCATTGTTGAATGTAATGCACTAAAAAATATTAGACATCGCAATCTAGTTAAGATTTTAACATGTTGTTCCAGTACAGATTACGAAGGCCAAGAATTTAAAGCTTTAGTTTTTGAGTACATGAAGAATGGAAACTTAGAACAATGGCTTCATCCAAGGACAGGAAATGCAGAAAAGGCAAAAATATTGTACTTATTTCAAAGAATAAATATCATTATTGATGTTGCTTCTGCATTACATTACCTTCACCATGAATGTGAGCCACCAATTGTTCACTGTGATTTAAAGCCAAGCAATGTTCTTCTTGATGATAATCTGGTGGCTCATGTGAGTGATTTTGGTTTAGCAAGACTTCTCTCAACCAATATTGGTAGCTCTAAGCAAACTAGTACAATTGGAATAAAGGGTACAATTGGTTATGCTCCACCAGGTATGTTCTGAACTCCTGTGAAATTCAGTGTTTCTTTGGATTCTATAGTTTTAGTTATAGTGCACTAGACCAATGACAATTTTGCTGCTCATTTTAGAGTATGGTTTCGGATCTGAGATGTCTACACAAGGTGATGTGTATAGCTTTGGCATTCTTATGTTGGAAATGCTTACCGGAAGAAGTCCAACAGATGAAACATTTAAAGATGGTCAAAATCTGCATAACTTTGTTGAAGTTGCATTTCCTGATAATCTTTTACAGATTTTGGACCCATCTCTTGTACCATTAGAGACAGAAGATGCAACCGAAGAAGATGTTGAGAAGTGCTTGGTTTCACTTTTTCAGATAGGACTTGCTTGCTCGATGGAATCACCAAAAAATAGGATGAGTATGATGAATGCAATTAGACAACTAAATATAATCAGAAAGGCCTTCCACACTGAAGAACAATATAGAGGTGCCACTTTCACACTGCTGCATATGCCAATTTATAATAACATGTTTCTAGTCCTTTATTTTTTTTTTCTTCTAAATTATTTACACGCTTATGAACCTTTCCTTTTAAAATTTTATAACAAAATAAAACAGAGATTTCTACATGCTTAATTGGTTATGCCACCTTGCTTCAGCTATTACTTGCTAAAGCAGTTATAATATAATTTCTTTCACCTTGATATGTACATACATATATTTCTAAACTACAAACAAAACATATTCTTCCTGCATTTCAGGTGTTGAATCATGTGAAGAATTCAAAATGAAATCTGTTGTGAATAGCAGTGTTGAAAGGGATGAAAAAGGAGACAAGTCAATGGCCGAGATGGACACAAGAAATAAAAGTGAACATTTTAGCACTACAGACTCGGAAGAAGAAATTATAACAATAGAGTGAGTTGAAATCAAGAAATGAGAGAACTAGTGTAGTGAGTTGCATTGTGTATATATCATTTGAGCATTTTGATAAATGCGTCTATTCAAGTGTCTTTCATTCCTTTTTTTTAATTCCTATTTTCCTTTCTCTATATTGTAAATATCATGACCTGTGTGCTAGTTCATGTTCATAGACAGTGTTAATCTACTGTTACATAAATAAAAGTTGCATTTCCTGATTTCTTGACACATAAATTTGTAGCTTGAGGTGCTGCCATTGACATTGCCATTACAAGTTCAAATGTGACATTAAGCTTCTATCTTATACTTATCATTACCTTCATGATATTAGAGTCTAGGATATATCTTATTTTTGCGTGTGCTGCCTGGAACTTTTGTCCAGATTTAGTAACTAATAAATTTTTTTAAATAATATAAAAAATAAATAAAACTTTTTTTATAAGTTAAAAACAATTTATTTAAAGAAATAAAATAAAAAATAACTAAGTAGATTTACAATAAAACCTAAAAATTGATTACTAACTCAGTTTAATCACCTTTAAAGGATAAATTTTAATAAAAAAAAACTTTAACAACGTCAAGTGATTGAATTTAATAGTTTATCGTATAAACTTATTGATTCTATAAATATTATAATATAAAAAAGATAAAATTATTTATAAGTTCGGATAAAATTAAAAAGCTAAAAACATTTCTTGTTTCAAAGAAAAAAAAACGTGTTAATTAGAAAAATAAAAATTATAAAGTTTACCTTATGTAAGCGTTGAATGTTATATTATTATTCAAAATATAATAAATATTTTTAATACTTAAATTCAATTTTAAAAATTGAAATTAGTATTTTTCTTTTTTCTTTTCCTCCCAATTTGTCCATATGATTATAGCATTACACCGCAAACATAATTTTCCAGTCTTCACCCCAAAGACCAACGATTGTCAAGTTTTATTTATTAAACCTAAACAAATCAAATTCTTTCAAATTTTCAAATTAATTTATTCAACGAATACTTAATATCTTTGAGTTCAAGTTAGGGATGACAATAGGTAAAGTATCCGATGGACACCCGCAAAATTTATCCACAATGGGTAGGGTATTTATCCTCTATATAGATACGAGTATGGGTATGGGTAACTCGCAAATTTTAATGGGGATAGGTACGGGTATGGGTGTCTAAGTACTCACTCTGCCCCATACCCGCATATATATATATATATATATATATGCTTGAACTTTATTCTACAATTATGCATTAAATTTTTGTATTATTATATTATTTATATGAAGTTATATAAGATTAATATAAAAATATTTAATAATAAAGTAAACCAAAAAATTTATTTTGGTTTATATTTTTAATAGAAAAATTTATTTACTATTTTATATCATTTAATTAGGCTAATACAATTTAATTATTACATAGTTAATATGAAATTGATTTCTTTTAAAATATTATTTATATATGACACACATAAAATAGTTTTTACACAAATATTTTTGTTAATAAAATCATATTGATGTTTAAATCATAAAGTGAATGATAAATAATAAATATATTGTAAATATTTTATAAATTTTACAATCACCTACTATTACTGTAAACTTATTATTTATTAATAATATTTAAATTTTATTTTTATATTTTAATTTAAAATAATATTTTTCTATGCAATATATGTATTACAAGCACAACTATAATATATTAAATCTAAATAATATTATTCTTATTATTTATTCACGTTCAAAGAATTTTTTGAAAAGATATAAATGTAAAAAATTATTGTTAATATTTATTTATTAATTTTTTTCAGATAAAAAAGTATAATTTTTTTAATATACACGTATATTTCTTTATTATAAAATTTTATTGTAATTATTTATCTTTTATTGAAATTCTTTCTTTTAAAATTTATATACATTATAAATATTTAATTTATTAAAATAATTTTTTAAAAATTTGTATTTTTGATAAAATATTTTCATATAATATATGAGTTAAAAATACTAGTATTAATATATATATATATATATATATATATATTAATTATATTATATTATTTTAATTAAATCTATTATTTTTCTTATAATTTCAAATTGAAAAGTTAAAAAAAAAAATTATGTATCTACTTTCTGTTGTTAGTATTGAACTTCTCTGCTCTAACTCTATTCTCATTCTTAATGTCTGTCTCATTAAAACCTAACAACTATGGAACGTTATTCATTAGAGTTAGTTGTCAATGCCGTCACAAGAGGTCACCAAGTGATCCCACATGAAGGGACAACCATTAGGGATGGCAATGGGTAGGGTATGGGTAGGGTACTACAGTACCCATCCCCATACCCGCGTTTTAAAAAAATACCCGTACCCGGACCCATACCCGCGTGGGTATGAACATTAATCCCCGTACCCGTACCCTCTGGGTACCCGCATACCCGTCTTGTACCCATTACCCGCGTTAGTTTGAAAAAAAAAATATTTATAAAGAAAAATATGTTTATATAATTTCACATAAGTAGCATAATAATACAAAAATTTAATATGTAATTGTCGAATAAGGTACAAATATAGATAAAAAAACAAATATTCAAAGATCATAAATGTTAAATGTATCTTAATATAATAATTTTTTAAACTAAAATTCTTAGAAACAATAAGTAAAACTAAACACACAAGTTATTTGTCAGTGATAATCCTATCTTGTGTGAGATTTGATTGATTGGTAATGTCAGAACAACAACGAAATAGATCTGTACAATGGTTGTCCTTTCGTGTTGGATCACTTAGTAACCTCTTGTGACGGCATTAACAACTAACTCTAATGAATAACATTTCATAGTTATTAAGTTTTAGTGAGAATGAGAATAGAGTTAGAGTAGAGAAGTTCAATACTAACAATAGAAAGTTGATACATAAAATATTTTTTTTAACTTTTGAATTTGAAATTGTAAGAAAAATAATAGATTTAATTAAAATAATATAATATAATTAATATATATATATATATATATATTAATACTAGTATTTTTTAACTCATATACTATACGAAAGTATTTTATCAAAAATATAAATTTTTGAAAAATTATTTTAGTGAATTAAATATTTATAATGTATATAAATTTAAAAAAAAATTTGAATAAAAGATAAATAGTTACAATAAAATTTTATAATAAAGAAATATACGTGTATATTAAAAAATTTTACTTTTTTATCTTAAAAAAATTAACAATAATTTTTTATATTTATATCTTTTCAAAAACTTCTTTGAATGTGAATAAATAGTAAGAATAATATTATTTAGATTCAATAGATTATAGTTGTGTTTGTAATACATATGTTGTATAGAAAAGTATTATTTTAAATTAAAATATGAAAATAAAATTTAAATATTATTAATAAATAATAAGTTTACGATAATAGTAGGTGATTGTAAAATTTATAAAATATTTATAAAATATTTATTATTTATCATTCACTTTATGATTTAAACATCAATATGATTTTATTAACAAAAATATTTGTGTAAAAAATATTTTATGTGTGTCATATATAAATAATATTTTAAAAAAAAGTCAATCTCATATTAACTATGTAATAATTAAATTGTGTTAACCTAATTAAATGATATAAAATAGTAAATAAATTTTCTATTAAAAATATAAACCAAAATAAATTTTTTGGTTTACTTTATTATTAAATATATTTTTATATTAATCTTATATAACTTCACGTAAGTAATATAATAATACAAAAATTCAATTCATAATTGTAGAATAAAGTTTAAGCATATATATATATATATATATGCGGGTATGGGGCGGGGTGGGTACTTAGATACCCATACCCGCACCCATCCCCATTAAAATTTGCGGGTTTTTACCCACACTCATACCCGTACCCGTATAGCGGGTAAATACCCTACCCATTGTGGGTAAATTTTGCGGGTGCCCATCGGGTATTTTACCCATTGCCATCCCTAACAACCATTGTACAGATCTATTTCGTTGTCGCTCTGACATTATCAATCGATCAAATTTCACACAAGATAACGTTGTCACTGACAAATAACTTGTGTGTTTAGTTTCGTTTATTATTTCTAAGAATTTTGTTTAGAAAATTATTATATTAAGATATATTTAACATTTATGATCTTTGAATATTTATTTTTTATCTATGTACCTTATTCGACAACTACATATTGAATTTTTGTATTATTATGCTACTTATGTGAAGTTATATAAACATATTTTTCTTTATAAATATTTTTTTCTCAAACAAGCGCTGGTAATGGGTACAAGATGGATATGCGGGTACCCAGAGGATACGAGTACAGTAATTAATATTCATACCCACACGGATATGGGGCCGGGTACGAGTATTTTTTTAAAATGCGGGTATGAGGATGAGTATTATAATACCTTACCCATTACCCTCCCTAGTTTAAGTATAGATAAGTAATTATATAACTAATTAAGACCACAATTTTGTCTTACTTACCTTAAAAATAGAATTATCTCTAATTAAACATAGCTGTAATTTAAATAAATAATAATAATTTGACAACATGATGTGTTTTCTTTGAATTGCTGTATTATTTTATTCCTACCCAAAGTTTGAATATTATTTCCTTAGCCGATACACCAAAGTTTGAAAATTATGTTTATAGTGACCACCATATATCACAGGCTGGTGACTAAGCAGTTTATAGTGATCATCACCACATAGTGGTAATCGACTTGCATTCTAAATCACTCTATAATCGCGTTGATCAATAGCTAATTGCATGAAAATTATTTGCTCAAAAATGGAGACACAAGGGGTATTCGACAAAATTAATAAATAAGTCATTCAAAGTTAAAATAATTTTATTATTTGAACCATTAAAAATAAATATTATATTTGATATCGTATACGATTATTTTTATTTTTATATACACATATTCTAAAAATATATTTCAAAATACAAAGTGACACCTTCTAGGCGAGTATGGAAAAAATTCTCAAA